TCACTCCCCTCAGAATAAATTCCTTTGCATCTCGGTTTCAAATAGTGTCCCCTTATTCTGTCACTGTGTCTTTTAGTTCATGGTTCCCTAACATCATCTCAACATTTCCCCTGTAAAGCCCCCTCAGAATCTTGTATGTTTCAGTAAAATCAGGCTCACTCTTCTAAACTCTAATAAATACAGGCCTAACCTATTTAGCCATTCTTAATAAGTCAACTCCTTCATCCCAGGAATCAGCCAAATGAATCTCTATTGAACTGCCTCCGATGGCGATACATCGTTTCTTAAATATGGGGCACACAACTGTGCACACTACTCCAGGTGCAGGCTCACCAACACGCTGTACTGTTGGAACAATACTTCACTATTTTTAAACTCCAGTTCTCTAGCAATGATAACAAAATTCCATGTGCCTTCTAAATTGCTTGCTGCACCAACATGCTAAAATTTTGTGGCTCAGTGGTTAGCACTGCTACCTCACAGCACCAGGGACCCGGGTTCAATTCCACGCTTGGGTGACTGTCTGTGTGGAGTTTGCACATTCTCCCCGTGCCTGCGTGGGTTTCCTCCGGGTGCTCCGGTTTCCTCCCACAGTCCAAAGATGCAGGTTAGGGTGGGTTGGCCATGCTAAATTTCCCATAGTGTTCAGGGATCTGTAGATTAGGTGGGTTATAGGGGGATGGATCTGGGTGGGATGCTCCAAGGGCCAGTGTGGACTTGTTGGGCCGAAGGGCCTGTTTCCACACTGTAGGGATTCTATGATAAACCTCACACATTCTTCCATTAAGCACCATCTGCCAAGTTTTTGCCACTCACTCCATCCATCTATACACCCTTGAAGTTTCCTCATGTCCTCATCACAGCATTCCCTCCCACTTATTATTGTATTATCAGCAAATACATTACACTCTGCCCCTCCTCCCAGTCATTAATATAGAGAGTGAATAATTGAGGCCCTGAAACTGATTCTTGTGCCACTCTACTAGTTATATCTTTCCGACCTGAAAAAGACCCATGTAAGAGCAGTAATTACTCAGAGGCGGAGGATTTTGTTTAAGTGAATGGGGCGGTTTATTACAAGCAGTTACCGGTAAATGCAGGGAGAGGAGTTCTAGGTAGACACACAGGAATACAGAACTCACTCTGATTCATGAGCATGAGTTACAGCTTTTTATAGACAGAAATAAACAACTTGTCCAGCAATCATCAGCAGTTTATCTCCACCTCCCCCCTCTTTCTAGTGTGGTCACTCCCTCGGGCACATCATGTGCTCTCATTTTAGTTTGATAGTTTAGTCAGAGTTTGATCATTTCATCAGCCACCTACTTTGTCAGCTGTTCTGTCCTATCGTCCTGTCTAATCCCATTAGCCAGCTACCTAATGGTCAGGGTAGATAGTCCTGTGGTCTAAATGAAATATCAACTATTTCATGTCTATTCCACTATACTTGTGTGTGTGTGTGTGTGTGTATGGGAGAGTCTTCTGTTTCAACCCATTAATTCCAACCCTCTGTCTTCTGTCTGCAATCCAATCCTCAAGTCGTTTCTCAAAATGGAGAACTGTGACCAGTGGTGTTCCACAGGGATCTGTGTTGGGACCACTGTTGTTTGTGATATACATAAATGATCTGGAGGAAGGTATAGATGGTCTGATTAACAAGTTTGCAGATGACACTAAGATTGGTAGAGTAGCAGATAGTGAAGGGGACTGTTGGAGAATGCAGCAGAATATAGATAGATTGGAGAGTTGGGCGGAAAAATGGCAGATGGAGTTCAATCCAGGCAAATGTGAGGTGATGCATTTTGGAAGATCCAATTCAAGAGCGAACTATACGGTAAATGGAAAAGCCCCGGGGAAAATTGATGCACAGAGAGATCTGGGTGCTCAGGTCCATTGTACCCTGAAGGTGGCAACGCAGGTCGATAGAGTGGTCAAGAAGTCATACGGCATGCTTTCATTCATCGGACGGGGTATTGAGTACAAGAGTTGGCAGGTCATGTTACAGTTGTATAGGACTTTTTTTCGACCACATTTGGAATACTGCGTACAGTTCTGGTCGCCACATTACCAAAAGGATGTGGATGCTTTGGAGAGGGTACAGAAGAGGTTCACCAGGATGTTGCCTGGTATGGAGGGCGCTAGCTATGAAGAGAGGTTGAGTAGATTAGGATTATTTACATTAGAAAGACGGAGGTTGAGGGGGGACCTGATTGAGGTCTACAAAATCATGAGAGGTATAGACAGGGTGGATAGCAAGAAGCTTTTTCCCAGAGTGGGGGATTCAATTACTAGGGGTCATGATTTCAAGGTGAGAGGGGAAAAGTTTAAGGGAGATATGTGTGGAAAGTTCTTTACGTAGAGGGTGGTGGGTGCCTGGAACGCGTTGCCAGCGGAGGTGGTAGAGGTGGGCACGATAGCGTCATTTAAGATGTATCTAGACAGATACATGAATGGGCAGGGAGCAGAGGGATACAGATCCTTGGAAAATAGGTGACAGGTTTAGATAGAGGATCTGGATCAACGCAGGCTTGGAGGGCCGAAGGGCCTGTTTCTGTGCTGTAATTTTCTTTGTTCTTTGTTCTAATATGGGACCCCACACTACTTTGAGCTCCTATCTTGTGTAATAACCTTTTATGTGGCATCTTCGATTGAATGCCTTCTGGAAATCCAAATATACCTCATCTTTGACCCGAAACATTAACCCTGTTCCTCTGCT